AAGGGTCGTCACCTCGGAGGAGAAGCAAGCGTCCATTTCTGGGTCACCTCGCTTCAAATCTGAGGCTCGTACATGAATCAGAATAAAATTCCAAGTTCGGCTGCAACGATTTATTCTTCAAACCTCCTCAGGTTACTGTTATTAAGTTTAAGTACAATTCATTTGCTTAAATCCAATATTGGTCATAACTTTCATGCAATTTATTTGTTAAAGTGATTGGAGTTAGGATACCCAATTAAAGTTGTTTACTTCTTCAATCAATATTGTGATCAATTACTTAGCAAGGCCAACACACTTCAAAGAAAGGAACAACATTAAATGAAAGAGATATTATATTGATTTTCAATGGAAAATAAAAAGGAGAGCCTGAGGCCAGTACATCATCAATGAGTGAAAAGAAAACTATCCTAAGCCTGGGAAGGAAATGGAGGTGCTTCAGCAGCTGGGACTTCTGTAGCTTGAGTGTTAGAAATTGCTTCTCCTACCTCTGCTACTTCATCTCCCACCGCCTCATTAGCTGGGGTTTGAGGCACCTCGTCCACAAATTCCGACCTGAGTTGCGACGGGTCCTGATTTGGGTACAACTCCTCAACCCGCTCCATCACCTCGGCGTAAGCAAAGTTCCTCTAGTAGGTGCTGAAGCTCTGGTACTCCGCAGTGTTGTGGAAATTGGCAATATAGTCCTTCACTGCCTCCTCCTTTGCATTTTGGGCTTCCTCCCTAGCATGGGTTGCATCATCGACATACCACTTAATTTGGCCCTCGATGAACTTGTATGCATCTTAGGCCCCTGCCAGCTCCAGGTTAGCCTTCTCCAAGGCTTCATCTGTCACCCTTTGGTGGTCATTGGAAACTTTCACCTTTTTTTGTCAAAGAGGCTACCTTGCACTGGGACTCATGCACCTCCCTCTTCAACGCCTTTATCTGAGCCAAGGCAGACTCTAGCTTGGTCGATTCTTCAAGTTTTTGGGCCCTGGCATCTTCAGCTTCGGCCCTAGTTGCCTTCAGCTCCTTTGCAAGGGAGGCAACCTTCTCTCACCTCATCAGCCTCTACACGCCTAACCATTTCAATCTTAACCGCTTTCGAGGCGACTTCCAGTAGCTTCGGCGGCCAGCTTCTTTGCCTTGGGACACAGAACTCCCAAATTTCCCAGACGAGCTAGAGACGTGCACGAGTTTCCTCTTTTTCCGCTCCTCAGTGACTTTTTCCTTCCCCCGAGGCTCCTTGGCCTTTTCTCGCCTCTGGGGGTCCCCTCTTCGGAGCCCACGAGGTGCTGTCCTTGGAGAGTCGTTCAACTCTGCCTCGGACCTCCTAGGCACCACTTGACCCCGGCTTCAGGGGCCTCACCTTCACAGTGGAAGTTGCCCTCAGTATGGACGCCATGTCAGGAGCTGGGTACTCCTTCCTCTTGAACTTATCTGCAGAACACAGCGCGTCAGTACCAAAATGAAAACACAAAAAATATGCAAGTGTGGAAGCTTCATACCCTTGGAGGCCATCAGTTCGAAGTCCAGGATATAACGACTTCTGTCGATGAGGTGGTCGAAGTGGCAAAGCTTTAGAGGTCTCTTGTAAATATCCTCTTTCACTTCAAACTCCTCCCTACTCAGCTCGAACCTCGTACTGCAATCTGTAAACGAGGCATCAACAGTTAGACAAAAAAAAATTAAAGCTAAAAAAGGAATGCAAACTACTAGGGTGGAAGACTCACAAGTTTCGTAGTACTGGGTTGGTACTGTGCAAGACAGGGCTTTGTCTCCCTCCACCGCCTACCACCTGTCCTTAACCCAGAACCACGACTCCTTCCACCCCTTTATGGAAGAAGGCAGCCCCACCACAAAAGGTACATGGGCCCCCCAGGGAGTCAAGTAATACCACCCCTTGGACTCCTTACCTATTATCCTAGGCTGAAAGAGGGTCATAAAAACGTGGAGAGGCATGTCCTCCCCAAGCGTAACTTCCTTCCACAGGAAGTACGAGCCGACCAACTGGCTCCACCCATTTGGCAGAACCTGGGTCGACGACAACATGAAATTTCTCAGCACAGCCCTGAAGAAGGGGTGCAGAGGAAGACGCATACCTGCCTTAAATAAATATTCGCTCACTGCCACGCACCCCGGCCTCGGATAACAGGCTCACTCATGGGCCTCGGGGACTAGCATCTCCACATAATGAGGTACACTGTACCTCTCCCTTATCTCCCCCAACCTCTTCGACGTCATATTCGAAGGGACTCTAGACCCCCCTACTCTACATTATAATCTACCTCCTCCTCGGTCATAGCAATCTGCTCAACCTCGGAGTCCCCCTATAACTAGACCCCCAACCAAACGACACGACAGTGACCAACTCCCTACCCGAAGTCAACTCCATCTCAGAAAGCAACTAAGAACACAATAAGAGGATTTTCTGTGAAAAATACCTACTGAAAAACTACGCGAACACAGTTTGCCGAAAAAGCAGTGGATGGAATTGTCTCAACGCCGGAATGCCTAAGCTCTAAGAGGAAAAATCAGATCGCGAGTGCTGAAAAATTCTGAAAAAGGAAGTTCTCTCACCTTTTATAAAGGATCCAGACGAACCCCCATTGTCAGATCGAATCTCATTCAATCTGAACCCTTCAGTTTAAATCAAATCCGAGGCATAGAATTCAAACAGTTTTTTAAACCTACGCCTTAGATTCAAGCGTGTCCTCCACGCACCTCATCCAACGCGTTTGCTTCTAGAAGCTCCAGCTATTCTAATAATTACGATTTTAATTTGACGGCGGCAGGCACTTTGGAAGTCGCAACGATTCAGCCAATTTTCCTTGAAAACATGCGCAAAACATCAAATCATTGGTACAACAGTCGAGGCACAATTATTGTCAATAAACTTCGGCTTCATCTCCAACATTCAGCCATCAAGCCTCGCAGGTTCGGTTCCCCAACCACCTCGGCTTCATCTCCAACATTCAGCCATCAATCCTCGTAGGTTCGGTTCCCCAACCACATTGGCTTCATCTTCAACATTCAGCCACCAAGCTTCGTAGGTTCGGTTTCCTAACCACCTCGGCATAATCCTCGGCTTTTTCATCATTCACCCACAACAACACATTCCTAACTCCAACCATGATATAAATATATATACTTGGACTTGTGGGACTATTATTCGGGTTAAAAAATTATTTCAATCTTTACCCAACCCACTGACTTTACTTCATTAAAGTCCACGTATTACATAAATGACTATACTTGGACTTGTGGGACTATTATTCAGGTTAAAAAATTATTTCAATCTTTACCCAACCCACTGGCTTTATTTCATTAAAGTTCACGCATTACATAAATGACTATATTTGGACTTGAGGGATTATTGTTACGTGTTGTCATACTTGGCCAACTGACGTGGGCCTATGGTCTACTCAATCCTAACCACGTGGCACTCTAGCCGAAGTAGGCTAAATGGCCGACGCCCTTTATGCCGAGGCCCATATACCAAAGCTAGTGAAACTAACCGAGCCTCGTCTGCCGAGGCCCGTGAAGATTGTCGAAGCCCTACAGCGGAAGTACTATGTGTCTGGCAGAAGCCTTGAATTTGAAGCAGAAGCCTCCGAACCATGAAGGGACGTCTTCCATGGTCACTTTTCCCAAGAGATCTCCTACATAAGGATCTGGTTAGAATGATTGATGGAACATTTGTCACAAGTACATATGACAGGTCTTATCACTAGCATGGGAGCTCTACACAAGTAATAAATGCGCAGCAAGCTAGCAAATCAAGAGTGATACCTAGGATTGGATGTTTGAATTGAGAAGATGATGCCACGTGTCACCTCATCTAAGGGCTGTCATTTCACATGTAATACTGTAAGTACTTTCCTTGTATAACATCGAAAGACGAATGCAAGAATCAATACAAGAAATCACATTTTACTCTCTTATTATCTTTACAATATAATACGAGTTCACACACATTTACATGCACTTTCATGAGCACCGATTGGTAATTATGGTACAATCGAATTAAGAACGTCCCACAGGATTCCGAACGTTCTTGTCCCGCGTCATTGAGCTACTCCCACGCCCCTGATTCGTTCGTTCTAGACCGTCCACGTATCTTAGCGTGTAGGACCTTCGCTCACGTGTGCGCGGGTGGGTCCGACATCTGTTGGCAACACTTTTTGAGGTCAACATTTGGAATTAAAGTTTCTGATCCAAAAGCAAAGCTTAGGAGACTGGAAGTTCGACGGTTGCAGCTGAGCTCATTTAAACATGGATTATCAAATACTTTCCCCAAAAATGGATTTTTATTCCCACCAATGTATTTGATTTTACTTAAAATTTTAAGTTAATATTTTTTATTTATAAGTAGATTTTATACTTTTAAATAATTTTAAGTAATTTTTTTACTTATAAACAAAATTTAAGTAAAAAATTACTGTTAAATTTCTTTATAAGCAAAAAAATTAATTTAAATTATTTTAAAGTATAAAATTTGCTTATAAATAAAAAATATTAACTTAAAATTTTAAGTAAATATTTAACTTTATTTAATTTATTAAGTTAAATATTTACTTATATGTAAAAAAATTCCCTATAAGTAAAATATAATTTATGAGTAAAAAAATTTCATATAAGAAATTATAAAATAAAATTTTTATCAAGGACATATATGTAATTTTATTTTTTAAATGACTTTTAGAATCGATAAATAATAAACTCTCAAGCATTGGTTGGATATTTTAAAAACCACTACTAAAATCATTCAAAATCGTTCCACTTATAGATGCTCAAAATCAGTATTTTAAAAAGCGTTTATAACCGGTACGCCCAAATTGTCAAGCAGGCCCTTGAGAAAAAATAAACCAATGAAACACAAAACAAGATTCATTCAATGTAAAATTTGCTTAAATTGGAAAAAAAAAATTACATTAAATAAAGAATTTACTTATTAATGAAATTTATCTCAGAAAAATACAAGAGGAATAATAAAAAATATGCACTTGATTTCCTTTGCGTATTATTTCCAATTTTCTTTATTTTATTTTTTTATTCGACTTTGTTGATCTTTGCTCAAAGCAATACCTGGATGCTACAACTTCTTTAGATGAAGCAAACTGGGCAAGATTTGACAACCGCATCACAATCTGTACATAGACAAAAGTGCCGGCACGGCAGCAACACCACCGCCGCGTCTCGTCGCAGGCAGGCCTTACAACTCGGTCCATTCAACTCACTAACTCGATCCGGGTCAACGTGGCTTGACTCTGCGTCCTCCGCCTCTCACGCAGCGGCGCATTCTTTCCCATTCCCCTGTCCCTCCCCGCTGCCTGCACTGATCATAGCCTGCAGAGCCGTCGCCGTGGCTTCCTGCTCCCGTGCCTTTGCTTGCCACTTCTGTACCTCCGAGTTCAGCTGTGCCGCCCGTGCTTCCAGTTCGGCCTTGCGCCTCACTGCCTTCTGCACTTCCGTCTCTTTCTCTCTCAGCCTTTGCTTCACCGACCCCGCCGCCGTCTCCAGCAGCACCTGATAGTGCCTTTGCATGTTTTCAGCCAACGCACGCCTCAATTCCTGCCCCTGTTGTACCAAAAACACTATTACCAAATATTTCAATAGCTCAATAATAACAGAAAATAACGATCTAATTATATTCCATACCCCTCACGCGGCTTTGCGCTGGCCAGTTTTAAGGGCGAGTTCTAACCTGTGTTTGAATGAAAGAATTGAATTCACTGAGATGCTGTTTCAATTGATGAGCCATGTTTGAAGACGGAGCACTTTTCCGGGATAAAGGAGGTTGGTAAGATCACTAGTTTGAGGATTCTCGAATTCTCTCTCTCTCTCTCTCTGACGGATTATCTGTGCCTGCCAAAACAACAACCCATTGTTTAAAGAGTGTTTGCCATAAATTCAATAAAGGTAAATTGAAATGTTTGTGAAAAATGAAAACGAATCTAACTACGAATAGAACTCAATCTCACCTGCACTGTTTAAAACTTACAAGAGAGTGTTGGATCAAGAAATTCAAATTCTCCGGGCTGCAATTGATAAACGTTCCCAGTTGGGTGAAGAACAACTGATGGGTAATGAGCTTGAACTGCCATTCCTACACCAAAAATCGAGTAAGACCTTCTGAGTACATATTTGTGTAAAGATCGAAAATGGGATTATGAAGAAGAGAAGGGTAAGAAATGCCGAACGCAGGAACGGTATGAATTAAAGAGGTACAAGGCAGATGGATTATTCAATGAATGAAGTCGGGAAAACGCTGAACAAGAAATCAAAAATCTGAATTGATCTTTCCACGTGAAAGTGAGAGAATAATAGGTAAAAGACGGGGGTACTTTTAAGTATAGCTTTGTCAAACCAACCATTTTCCATTTTAACCATAAAAATATAACATTCACCACAATAGCCATTTCTTGTGTAAAAGACTAAAACGCCCTTAAATGAGTTATATAATTACAAAAATAGAAATATGGTAAAAAGACAAAAATATCCTTAAGTTACAAATAAAAATCCAAACAAGGCTCAATTGAAATTTGAAAACGAAGTCAGTCTTTTCATCAGTTTACTCTAACACGATAAAAACTCTTCCATTTTTCATCCACTTCAACCTCAAAATTTCATAAACTTATCAGTTATCAACCTCAACAGAAAAATATAGTTAAATTTCAGCACTTCAATTCGGTAAGTATCTTTTCGTAGTATTTAATTTTATTTTTATTGAAATCGTATATTTTTTTTAAATGGTAGAAAAAATAATATTAGAGTCAAAGTTCAGGCCGGCACCGATCAGACGTCGGAACGACGGATTTAACGACGATTCCGTTTGCAGACTCCCCCGCCCCTCGATTCTGATAATTTTTTTCTGATAATTTTTTTTTGATAATTTATTCTGATATTTTTAATTCGTAATGCAGATATGGCAAAAGCGTGTGTCCCAATCTGTTATTTCGACGAATTTCAAAGGAAAGAAAATGGTCAATGGGAATGGAAATGGACGAGTGAAGGAGAAGGGGTTGCTGCTATTACGATAACAAAAAATACTTCGTTTACAGAAATGTACAGTGAAATACAAAACATGCTTAACGTCGATTCCTCTCAGTACGATATGGAATTGGGATTTTTATTTCAAAAGCATTCAACAATTTCGATTCCACCTTTGAAAGTTACTTCTGAAGCGCAAATAAAGCATCTAATTCAATTGAACCAAGGTCGAAAGACGACTCCTATTTGCGTAAGTTTGTTGAAGAAAAATGTCATCGAGGGTGAACACGAAGTTTTTGATGGAGAGGATCGTAATGAGAATGATTTTTGGGATACTGTTGAGATTGCTCGGGAGGATGATGTGGTTATTCTTGGGGCAGTTGCTACTCACCATGATGTCACCGTTACACGAAGGATTTACGAGGAAGTTCAAGACAACGAGGATGAAAGGCCATTTACAAATCAGGATTTGATTGCTTTATCCAGACAGAGACATGAGTCTGGTGGGAGCTCACATGCTGGGCCGAGTACACGGTCTTCTAATTGTTCGCGTGTAGTTCCTGATGATGAAGATTTACATGTTGATCAATTGTTTGACACGAAAA